CCGGAGCGGTACCTATTTATCTACTTGCACTTTGACGTGCTTTCAAACTGATAGGTTGGAAGGAGCAGGGACCGAGCAACGGGAGCTCACCACATCACGGGGATTCGAACCACCAACCTTCTGACTGGCAAGTCCTAGGCTCAGCGGTTTAGACCACAGCGCCATCCGCGTCCCCAAAGGAAGGAGAGTCCACCACTAATATTGCAAAGGAATACTGAAACATGGGGAGCTGAACTTAAACTTGGAGAAATGTAATTTGGGAGACACCGGAAATGACAAATTTGTACATCACTCTTTGCTATGTTGGGGAAGTCTGGTTCCTTCGGAGGAAATCTCGCCACCCGCTGCGACCGATGTGGTTCGCAGGTGAGCAAGGGACCGCCTGGCTTTGAAATCTGCAAGTCCCTGCTAGGAGATGCTGGAGAAGGTTAAAGCTGCTTTAGTCTTGATAGCTTCGAACAAAGGGCGACCCCTCACTGCACACTGGCTCACAGTGGAATCTCACTGCAGGCTCGGGGTCAACCCTACACAAATCTGGAGTCCCTAAGACGGTTGGATGGTGCCAGTGCGGTGTAGTGGTTAAGAGCGGTAGACTCGTAATCTGGGGAACCGGGTTCGCGTCTCCGCTCCTCCACATGCAGCTGCTGGGTGACCTTGGGCCAGTCCCACTTCTCTGAAGTCTCTCAGCCCCACTCACCTCACAGAGTGTTTGTTGTGGGGGAGGAAGGGAAAGGAGAATGTTAGCCGCTTTGAGACTCCTTAAAGGGAATGAAAGGCGGGATATCAAATCCAAACTCTTCTTCTTCTGTGTTGTTTTTGCTGCATTAGCAGCACTCAAAGTGAGCTCTCCAGGTCGCAAGCCTGGGCAGTGTTTCTGGGGGTCCTGGGCTGCCCAGGAGACAAAAGCCCTCTCTCGGCCTTGCTGATGTGGCTCAAAAGAAACTCCCAATCACTTTCTAAACACCAGCTTGTCTAAACTTAAGTTTGTCTCAACAAAAATGTTTTTAGCAAGTGCTGAAAAGGGTAAAGCGATGTTGCATACCTAATAGTGATAGGCAGCAATAAAAATATATGAGGCCTCTCTGCAAATTCCCCCCCCCCAAAAAAAATATTTGGTGGCATCTCAAAGCCAACTCAGAGTATGGACCCTCACTCTGCATGCACTTTATGGACCTATGGAGAAGATTGGATTTCACATATGCGCACAAAAACCATATACACTGGGCACCAGCTCTGCCCCCAGTGGGCTGGGGAAACTCAGCCAGATGGACGAGGTATAAATAATAAATTATTATTATTATTATTATTATTATTATTATTATTATTATTATTATTATTATTATTATTTCAGATTGGTTAATATTTGATCCCCTTGCAAATTCCCGTACTTGGCCTCCTCCTTTGTGCCATTTGGACATTTTTGAATTAGGTGTCGACTAAAAGCAACACAGGGACGCGGGTGGCGCTGTCGTTTAAACCACTGTGCCGCTTGGGCTTGGCGATCGGAAGGTCAGCGGTTCAAATCCCCGCGACGGGGTGAGTTCCCGTTGCTCGGTCCCTGCTCCTGCCAACCTAGCAGTTCGAAAGCACGTCAAAGTGCAAGTAGATTAATAGGTACCGCTCTGGCAGGAAGGTAAATGGCGTTTCTTTGCACTGCTCTGGTTTTGCCAGGAGCGGCTTAGTCATGTTGGCCACATGACCTGGAAAAACTGTCTGCGGACAAACGCTGGCTCCCTTGGCCAGTAGAGTGAGATGAGTGCCACAACCCCAGAGTTGTTCGCGGCTGGACTTAACTGTCAGGGGTCCCTTTACCTTTACCTAGAAACCAACACAAAGCAGGGATGGATCTCGCTCCATGCTTATGTTAGCCTTGCTGTTAAGAAAACCTGCCACTGCCTTTCGCATCCTGCGAGCAGCTCCTCTCCAACAGCTTGGATTTCCAGGAGGGTACCTCACCTGAAAGACGAAAACCAGAGCCGACAAGCTCACGGCGAGGATATGTGAGAAGCTAGCCCCCCGGAGAGCCTGTTTAGACTCGAGCCGCGTCTTCAACCATCTGGTACCGACAAGGCTTTCTAAATCACGGCTTGGGCTGCTTGTTCCAGACATCAATATTATTTATGTATATAATCAAATCTCTATAAACAGCCGCAGTGTGTGTTCGGGAGCCTACTGGAATATATCTCAGCACAAGAGAGGCAAACACCAGAGGCACAGAACTTTATGGGGAAGGGGAGAAAACATCCGCCAAGCTGTCAAGGTTGTAATAAAGCCATCTTTATTTTGTGGCACCCTGGCCATCGCCAGGGTCTCAGTCGGGCACCGGTGATGTGCAGTGTGCGTTCTGAATGCTGCACAGGTACGGAGTAAGCCTGAAATTTATGCGAGGGGTTTATGTTCTGGGGACTCGAACACAAAGGCATCATCACGCAAGTTCGGGAAGACACCCTGGGATCTCCCCCTCTGGAGATTTAGCATTGGGGGGCACTTTCCCTCAGTGGAAATTCAGAAAGTGGGCAAAAGATGTGACAAAATTGGGAGGGAGGTGGCTCCCTTTTCTGGCCCAGCAGCAGCAGGACACCTGGAGTGGATGTCTCCGGGGTGGCCGGGCAGGCTGTGAGTGGATAGCAGGCAGCCACCCAGGCAGTGAGAATTCTCTTCCACCTTAAGGAACAGACGTGTGGAATTGTTGCGTGTCACATGTCTGTTTACATTCCAGCACAGTATGCGGGGAACTTCAATTTGTGTATAACTTTCTGTTTTGCTTTGGACACGAAGGAGATCAGACATGTTTCCTTTTGTCCTGATCTACGCTTAATAAAAAGGAATGTGGGTGGCGCTGTGGGTTAAACCACAGAGCCTAGGACTTGCCAATCAGAAGGTCGGCGGTTCAAATCCCCGTGATGGGGTGAGCTCCTGTTGCTCGGTCCCTGCTCCTGCCAACCTAGCAGTTCGAAAGCACGTCAAAGTGCAAGTAGATAAATAGGTACCGCTCCGGCGGGAAGGTAAACGGCGGTTCCGTGCGCTGCTCTGGTTCGCCAGAAGCAGCTTAGTCATGCTGGCCACATGACCTGGAAGGTGTACACCGGCTCCCTCGGCCAATAAAGCGAGATGAGCACCGCAATCCCAGAGTCGGCCATGACTGGACTTAACTGTCTGGGGTCCCTTTACCTTTACCTTATGCTTAATAAAACCTGCTTGTAAATATGCTCACACAGCCTCTCGTGCCACTTCTGTCTGCGCAGTGTTTTCTCTGCTGAATAGCGTGCTCAGTCTTCTAAAGCCTGGGTCACAGATTTATGCTGCACCAAGGACCGGAGTATGCCTGGCACCCCGGCCAGTGGGCTGGGCCGGCTGGGGGCCTGCCAATTGCCCCCATTTCCTTGGGTGCATGCCAACAGACAGGCCCTCCCTTGCCAGGATGGAGCCCCCTCTCATTGCCCACCCCTTTCAGCATCTCGTGATGGCGCGCCGCACGCTTCTCATGCCATAGCTGCCGCCGCTGCCGTGTGCAACAGGTAGCTGCTGTTCTGGGTTGTGCCCTCAGATCCTTCCTGCCCCGGGGCTGCCGGAGAACCCCCAGACAAGGTTCATCAGTACGGAAACAGGCTAGCAGCACAGCAGCTTCTGGGCCTGACAGGCGGATCTTCCTGTGGGCACACTACAAGCTATTTGCAGTGCCCCATCTCTTTCGCACCTTGCCCCGGGCACAGGCAACCGACGCTACACCACTGTCTCCCTGACAGCTCTCCTTTCCTTAATGGGCTCTTTGGCAGTTGCGTGAGGCTTCTGGGAGGCCGTGGGAGATCTCTCAGGGCCTTCCCAAGATCTCAGATGGCCCCAGAGTATCTTGTGGGGTCCCACAATTTCCCCAGAGCCCCATAAGCAAAGTGGAGGACTTATAAACTCTTTCCATGGCACAGAAAGAGCTTTTTAAGCACTCCGGCTTGCTTAGCAGAGATCTGGGAAGGTCCAGTGGAATGGGCACACCGTGAAAGGCCTCAGGTGACAATTGCAGGGTCTGAGGCTCCCAGCTTTTGCTAGAGCAGGCATGTCCAACACATAGATCATTGGGGGGGGGGTTCCAGGTAGATCGTGGGATCAGGGTGCTCCTGATCTATCACCCAGAAAAGCTGAACAACTCTGGGGCACCCTCCCCAAAAGATCAACAACTCTGACCACCCCTTCCAAAAAAAAATAAAAATCAACAACTCTTGGCAATGGGTAGATCACTGCCATCAATGAGTAGATCGCAGGCTCTTGGGAGATGGATGTGCCTGTGCTATAGCATTGCTTCTCAGACTTTTTTCTCTGAAGCACACTTTCAGAATAAAAATTTGCTCATGCCACACTGAATTTTGTATTGATAAGATATACATCGGAAAACAAAAAGGAACAGCTCCCAGCAGCGCTCGATTTATAACACAGAACACAACGGTCACAGGACACCCAGAAAGTATAAAACCGCGCAGCTACATAAGAAGATGAATCATTCCCACAAAGGAACTATCAATGAGCCTCTTGCAGGCGTAGCTTGAGTATTTTATGCAAGCCCAATGAGAGGGGTGATCTTGCTTTTGCTGGGTAATCCCATTTATAGAAGGTCAACCAACTCTTCTCTCCTCATCAACATAAAGAAGCCTTTGTGTTTTCCGATCTTTCATATGTGTCAGAGCTGGAAATCTCTGCTCACAACAATATGTCGTGGAGAACTGTAGAAGAACAGCCAATGCTCTTGAAGAAAGATATAGATACTGTTTCTGGTTGTATATCCCACCAAATTACTTTGATATCATCCTGTCCTATACTAAACTGAAATGTTTCAAGGTTTCTTTGATTGCCCTCAAATGTTCCCTCCACACTTGCCTTCTTTTCCTGCTAAACCCTCAGAGAACCTGTGGTCTAGAGGGATATTGTATTTATCTTGCGTTCAGCTTGATCGTTGATGGGTGTGGTTCAAATAATAAAATTATTATTATTATTATTCCTGTCATCTATAGGTGACTTCCCGCCGCCCCCGCCACCTCCACCTCCTTCTGACGATCTTGGGAATCCTCCTCCACCGCCGCCCAGTGCCTTTCTTCCTCCTCCTCCTCCTCCTGATGAAGCCATGTTCAATGTTCAGGTAAGAAGGCATTCACGGTGCTGCCAAGGACATGCATGGGGTTCTTGTGGTGCCCGCCTGTGGTCAAGGCGAATCAAGTGCCCATGGTGCTAGGTGCTGTACAGCGGCAGTGGTGACCACCAAAAGAAAGAACTGCTTCACGTGGCTTGTAGTTAAACTGTGGAACTCCCTGCCACCGGAGGCAGTGATGGCCAAATTTGTGGAGGAATTGTGCTTGAGTTCTGCTTGTGGGTTTCTCTTTGGTGTATCTAGTCGGTCACAGCGAGAACAAGATACTAAATGGGCCATTGGACTGACCAACATGCCTCTTCTTATTTTCTTAGAACGGTGCCTTAAAAAATCCCAGTCTTATTGCTTTCTCATTATATGTTAAAACATCACTTGTATTTACTTTATTTATAATGTTAGTCTTCCTTTCCTTTTTAACCCCCCCCCCCATACTAGCACTGTTGTTGTTTAGTCGTTTAGTCGTGTCCGACTCGTCATGACCCCATGGACCAGAGCACACCAGGCACTCCTGTCTTCCACTGCCTCCCGCAGTTTGGTCAAACTCATGCTGGTCCCTTCGAGAACACTGTCCCACCATCTCGTCCTCCGTCGTCCCCTTCTCCTTGTGCCCTCCATCTTTCCCAACATCAGGGTCTTTTCCAGGGATTCTTCTCTTCTCACGAGGTGGCCAAAGTATTGGAGCCTCAGCTTCACGATCTGTCCTTCCAGTGAGCTGATTTCCTTCAGAATGGAGAGGTTTGATCTTCATTAGGTCCAGTCGTGACCGACTCTGGGGTTGCGGCTCTCATCTCGCTTTATTGGCCGAGGGAGCCGGTGTACAGCTTCCGGGTCATGTGGCCAGCATGACTAAGCAGCTTCTGGCGAACCAGAGCAGCGCACGGAAATGCCATTTACCTGCCCGCCAGACCGGTACCTATTTATCTACTTGCACTTTGACGTGCTTTCAAACTGCTAGATTGGCAGGAGCAGGGACCAAGCAACGGGAGCTCTCCCCGTCGTGGGGATTCGAACCGCCGACCTTCTGATCGGCAAGTCCTAGGCTCTGTGGTTTAACCCACAGCACCACCAGCATTCCTATTTGAGTCCCCCCAAATAGGGGGCTTCTTATACATGGGGGCGTCTTATAGACAGAAAAGTACGGTACTTGGCGGCTGGGCTTGACATTCCCCACCCCTGCTGTAGACTCAGGGAAATAGCTGTGACTCTTGTATTGCAGGGCGTGAGACTAGACAGCACTTGGGGTCTGTCCCCCCCCCCAATGCTACAATCCCACAACTCTGAGTGACACAGCAGAGGGCAATGCAGCTCCCTCCGCCCAAAGTGGTGGCTTTTCTCAAGAGCCATCCTTCTCATCAAGTCACAGGAGGTTTCCTAGAAGGCTTTTGCAGATGCATCACCAGCTCCATCTCTCCCACGGAGGCGACAGGCCCCTCTTGAAAGAGGGCACCGACTGATGGTTGAGCAAACGCTGCCATCAATGAGAGCTGGCGTTGCAGGACCCACTTGTACTCAGCCTGGAGAGCTGCTGTGGTCACATGACCCGGGCTCCCCGGGCTGCAGCATGGATACCTGGTGTCCATGGAAACGTGAGACGTGGGTGGCACTGGCTTCAGGCGACGTCTGCTTGGTGGCTGGAATGACAGCGCCTGCCGAAGGCCGTGAAGGCATTCCCTTTGGACAAGGGGAAGTTTGCAGCCCTGGTTTTGTGGGATGTGCAGACCCTACTGTATTCATTTTATTTTATTTTATTTATTAAATTTATATACCACCCTCCGTCAGAAGATCTCAGGGTAGAATAAAATACAAGATATTGTTGTTTAGTCGTTTAGTCGTGTCCGACTCTTTGTGACCCCCTGGACCAGAGCACGCCAGGCACCCCTGTCTTCCACTGCCTCCCGCAGTTTGGCCAAACTCATGCTAGTAGCTTCGAGAACACTATCCAACCATCTCGTCCTCTGTTGTCCCCTTCTCCTTGTGCCCTCCATCTTTCCCAACATCAGGGTCTTTTCCAGGGAGTCTTCTCTTCTCATGAGGTGGCCAAAGTATTGGAGCCTCAGCTTCAGGATCTGTCCTTCCAGTGAGCACTCAGGGCTGATTTCCTTAAGAATAGAGAGGTTGGATCTTCTTGCAGTCCATGGGACTCTCAGAGTCTCCTCCAGCATCATAATTCAAAAGCATCCATTCTTCGGCGATCAGCCTTCTTTATGGTCCAGCTCTCACTTCCATACATCACTACTGGGAAAACCATCCCTTTTCATACCACCCCCTTTTTTAAGAATAACAACATTGGACGGCCTTATGAAGTCTATCTGAGGACTGCAATACCTCAAGGACCACCACTTTCAGTATGAACCTACCTGGACCCTGAGATCATCTTCTGAGGACCTCCTTCATGAGCCTCCTCCTCGAGAGGTCCAGAGGGTGACAACACAAGAACAGGGCCTTTGTTGCAGTGGCTCCCCAGGGAAGTACACCTGGTGCCTTAATTATACACCTTTAGGCACCAGGCAAAATTTTTCCTTTTTAAGCAGGCCTTTGGTTGATCTGGTGGACATCCTATGCCCTATTAAAATGTGCTTTTTGTTGGAGGCATATTGGGTTGGTTTATTTTTATTTTTATTATGTATTTTGTGGTTTTATATCTTGATTTTATTCTGTGACCCCCCCCCCCCAGTATAGGGCAGTATATAAATTCTAATCATCATCATCATCATCATCATCATCATCTCCCAACCACCCCATGGGGTTTCTTCAGATAATCTTTGCCAGCCAGATGGGCGAGGTATAAGTAATAAATCATTATTCTCATATTATTCTGACGGTAAGAGCCATTTGATGTTACAATGAACTCCCTCGCTGGGTGATGGACTCTCCTTGCATGGAGGTTTTCAAGCAGACATTGGGTGCCCATCTCTCAGGGATTCTCTAGGCGTCCTTCCTGCCTTGCAGGGGGTTGGACTAGATGACCCCTGGGGGTCTCAGTTCTCTGAGAAGATGAGACTTGGCAGTGCGAGTTCTCCCACGGCTCAGTTACGGAGGGCAAAGATGGAATTCCCGTCAGAAGTATTTTCTGCGGCGACGGGCGCATGCGGATGGTGTCTCTGCCTGACCCGTTGGTGACATTCTGTCGACTGGCTGAGAACGAGAGCTTCTGGTTTGTTGAGAATCTCCCCCCAGTCGCGGCTGCCGGACTTGTCCTGCGCCAGGAAGCCTCCCTTCTCCTCCTCCCCCGATTGTTCGGCGTGCCACCTTGCCGCCAGAGACCGTTAATTCTATTTAATGGCTAATTAAACGCTAATTCATGCTGCATTTGGAACAGGATTAAGGTCGGCGGGGGTGGGAGCCAGCAAAGAAACGGGAAGCTCTCGCAGTGGCCATAATTATCGATAATGAGCTCTGGGCTGTAATTTTATTAATTAAAAGGGGAGAGAAGAGGCAATATCCTCTGGAGCTGTTCTCCGTCAGAAAGAGCGCTGGTGCCGGGAAAAGGTTTAATGACCTTTTTGGATGGGCCTGGGTCTTCATCCCCAGATGGGACACAAGTGGGGGGGCAAAGGAGCTGGGGTTTTTTTTTGGGGGGGGGGCAGAAGATGCCGCACCACCTCCTATTCCCTCTAACGCCAAAAACACACCCCAAGATACAGAGGTTTTCCCCCAAAACAGTGTAATTTCCAAGCCAGATGCAGCTTTAATTCTAGCCAAGCAATAATGAGTCGTCTTTACAACAACAACATAAACCGATTTGATGTGCAAAGTAGTTTCTCTGTGTTATTCCGCCTCCCTGCGACCGAGATAACATCCATGGGTCTCCTGTTTTTCCTGCATTTGCTATTGGCCAAATGCAACCAGTGTTGATTCATTAATATAATTTCCCAGAAAGCAGGGTTAAAGTCCCCCGAGGGTAGGTTTCATTTTAGAATTCTTCTTTATATATAATTTTTGTGGAGTTTTCAATTTTACATTTCAAAATAAACATTTTGCGAACTTCAAAATATCCAGTGACTTCCCTTCTTCTCCTTCTGTGGTTCATTTTAAGTATCATACTGTACATTCCTGAATATTTTACTGTAACCATTCAAATCAGTTTTCCACTTTTACATCCATCAAAAATCACTTACTCTGTTGAATTGATCTTACTGCTGCCAGCGTTTTCAGGTGTGTACAGTTATTTTCCAGATATTCAATAAATGTATTCTACTCTTCTTTAAATATATGTTCTTCTTGCTCTCTTATTCTACGTGTTGAATCTGCAAGTTCTTCATATTCTGTCAATTTAAGTTGCCAATCCTCTTTAGCGGGGGCTAACAAAACACGGGTTGCAGTTGTTGCATACATAAATAACATTTTCTGACACCTAGGAAATTCTGTCAGGGTTATTCCCAAAAGGAAGGACTCTGGTTTTGGGAGGAAAGTAGTTTCAAACATGTTTTTCAATTCATTATAAATCATTTTTCATGTCCACCACATGTGAAAAAAGGCTCCCTCTGCTTCTTTACACTTCCAACACATATCTGATTCTGTTTCATAAATCTTAGCCAACCTACTCGGAGTTAGGTACTATCTATGAATCATTTTCAAATAATTCTCTTTCAGTGAATAGGTAAAGGTAAAGGGACCCCTGACCATTAGGTCCAGTCGCGAACGACTCTGGGGTTGCGGCGCTCATCTCGCTTTATTGCCCGAGGGAGCCGGCGTACAGCTTCCGGGTCATGTGGCCAGCATGACTAAGCCGCTTCTGGCGAACCAGAGCAGTGCACGGAAATGCCATTTACCTTCCCGCCGGAGTGGTACCTATTTATCTACTTGCACTTGACGTGCTTTCAAACTGCTAGGTTGGCAGGAGCAGGGACCGAGCAACGGGAGCTCACCCCGTCGCGGGGATTCGAACCGTTGACCTTCTGATCGGCAAGTCCTAGGCTCTGTGCTTTAACCCACAGCACCACCCGTGTCCCTATCTTTCAGTGAATAACTTGCAGTAAATTTCAGGGTGCTTTCCCAAAGTTTCTCCAAGAGGTGAAGATCTATATTATGTCATATATCTGTTGCCCAGTGTTTCATTGAAGCTTTAACGAGCTCGGCTTTTGTTTCCCATTTTGATAAAAAATTACACATTTTAGACAGAAGTTTATCCTTATTTTGCTTCTTTTTCAAATTGGGAGCTTTGATCCAGAAATCCATTCTTTCTATCTCATTTAAACATGTCGTATATCTGGTGAAATTGCAACCAATCCATAACTTGGCTCCTTAAGTTTTCCATTGATTTCAGTCTGGGTTACCCCCCACCCACTGTAAAATCCAGCAGATCCCTGTAAATTGCCCATTGTCTGTCCACATTAACTTTTAATTGTAATTGCTTCATTGGGAGATGCCTGTTGTCTTTGTCCATGGAGTTTTCTTGGCAGGGATACTGGAGTGGCTTGCCAGTTCCTCCTCCAGGTGGATCACGTTTGGTCAAAACTCTCCACTATGACCTGTTCATCTTGGGTGGCCCTGCACGGCATAGCTCATAGCTTCTCTGAGTTATTCAAGCCCCTTCGCCATGGCAAGGCAGTGATCCATGAAGAGGTATCTCATTGAGAGAAAGCCATAAAGGTGTTTTGTCTTTCCAGCAGATTTTTATATTTCTCCCAGTCTCTATACAGATTCTTCCTAAGAATGTGTTTCAAAAAACTCTTATGGATTTTAGCCTTCCCTTACCAAAGACATGCATGCCAACTGAATTTTAATTTATGACCTTCTAAATCTAAAATGTCTGCATTGTCCAATACTATCCATTCTTTCAACCAACACAAACAAGCTACCTCATAATACAATTGCAGATCTGGCAGGACATAGCCTTCTCTTTCGTTTGTATCTATCATCCAATGGCATTTCAGGCCCGGCTCAATCGAGAGGAATAGCAGCTCTCCTGGTTAGCAGGGTGACTTGAGTACGTTCTCAGAGTTGACTCAAGAGGGATCGTGTCCCCATTTTTAAAGGACAGCAGCTGCCATGCCTCGCTCCCCCCCTCCCCTGGCTTCATTCTCAGCACACAAATATGCAGCACATCTTGAATGAGAAGCCCAAGAGGAGCTTTGCTTCCAGACTGCTTCCTTCCTTACTCTGCTATCCTTCTTTGGTGATCAGCTTTCTTTATGGTCCAGTGAATGAAGAGAACTCCCCCCAAAAGGGCTGTGCAGAAGACCCCACAGGCCATAAATTTACCTCTGACTCCACCTGTCTCCACCCTTAATGCCAAATTCCTTCATTTCTTTGTGTGTTCCTTCCCTCTTCGACTAGGTCAGCGCCGGTGGCAAGACTCTGGAGGAGAGGCGTTCCAGTCTGGACGCGGAAATCGACTCCTTGACCAGCATCTTGGCTGACTTGGAGAACAGCTCGCCTTACAAGCCGCGGACGCAACAGGTCAGAGTTGGGGAGAGATGGCAGAGGGACACAGGGTCCAGCGGCCACACTCAGCCTCTTCTCTCGGACGGGGGCTTGAGTTGGGGCCGTACATTGTCAAATGCTGCCTGTTGCATTCAAAACAGACTGAAAAAGTGGCAAGGTATTTTTTTATTTTTCATAAATACCGCGTAGAGCAGCACGCTGGTTCCTACCACATCAGTGTTCCGTGCCTCTATTCTGTTAGCAAACTGCCTTGAGAACGATGCAAGCCACTAGTGAATCCCTCCCCTTTTAGCAGGTGAAAGACAAGCTTTCCTTGGAGGTTTTTAAGCAGAAGTTGGGTGGCCCATTGCCGCGGGTGCTTAATAATAATAATAATAATAATAATAAAATTTTATTTATATCCCACCCTTCTTGGTTCAAAAGCCGGGCTCAGGGCAGCTTACAACAAATTTAAAACACTTAATTGATGCAACAAAAAACAGCATAAAATACAGTATAAAACGTGGATAACAATAAATTCAGAATTCAAAAATCAATTGGGGGGGGGGAATTCATCCAATAAACATTAGATGATCACCAGGGCTAGCTGGCTAAATTAGTCCTGTTTGGGCCAGCGAGGAGACCAGGGGAGAACCAGTTGTGGGATCCCAGAGTAGGGAATCTTCATAAAAAGGGGAGGGGGAGGGAAGGAAGGGGAATAAAAGATCAGGCTAAGTTCAGATTGAAAGCCAGGTGGAATAGCTCTGTCTTACAGGCCCTGCGGAAGGAGGTTAAATCCTGCAGGGCCCTGGCCTCATGGGACAGAGCATTCCACCAGGTCGGAGCCACCACTGAGAAGGCCCTGGCCCTGGTGGAGGATAGCCTGACTTCCTTAGGGCCTGGGACCTCTAAACTATGATTATTCATGGACCTTAAGGTCCTCTGTGGGGCAGACCAGGAGAGGTGGTCCCGTAAATACGAGGGCCCTAAGCCACAAAGGGCTTTAGCTGAGATTCCTGCATTGCAAGGGGTTGGACTAGATGTCCTTCGGGGTCCCGTCCCACTCTCAGATTCTACGATTCTGTGAATGCTTGCAGGCCAGGGTGATGGTAGCAGGCGCAGCGTTGCTTTCCCCTCCACATTTAAGTGCTATGCACAGAGCTTCTGCACAGATACCTGTGAAGAGAAACCAGGAAATTTGCTTAGAAAGAAGAAGCAACAGCCTCTCTTGGTCACTGTGCCAGAGAATCTTTCCCTTCTGACTGCCGCTGTCGCTCCTGCGATCTGAGCTTCAAATTGTGTTCTCTCTCTCTCCCCCCGCCCCCTACAGCCCCTCTTTGTTGTCTAATCCCCCGGGCTGAAAACGCTCTGGAAACAGCTCTGCTATCAGCAGGGTGCCTGCGTCAGCACCGTGGGGTGAAACCGGGGTGAGGTGGGTGGCAGGGATGAGTCACACAGGAAGCCAGGGCTTCGGAAGAGCAGTTTTCTGTTTGTGCGCCCAGAAGGAGAGTGCAAGGGGCTGCCCTGGAGGGATGGGACTCTGGGGATATTTTCCTGGAGGAGGAGGAGGAGGAGGAGAAGAAGAAGAAGAAGAAGAAGAAGAAGAAGAAGAAGAAGAAGAGAAGAAGAGGAAGAGGAAGAGGAGGGAAGCCCTCTCCCCTAACTCTAGGATTTGTGGGTACCCAATGAAGCTGAAGAGGGACGCGGGTGGCGCTGTGGGTTAAAGCCTCAGTGCCTAGGACTTGCTGATCGAAAGGTCGGCGGTTCGAATCCCCGCGGCGGGGTGCACTCTCGTCGCTCGGTCCCAGCGCCTGCCAACCTAGCAGTTCAAAAGCACGTCAAAGTGCAAGTAGATAAATAGGGACCGCTTACTAGCAGGAAGGTAAACGGCGTTCCATGTGCGGCTCTGGCTCGCCAGACGCAGCTTGTCACGCTGGCCACGTGACCCGGAAGTGTCTGCGGACAGCGCTGGCTCCCGGCCTCTAGAGTGAGATGAGCGCACAACCCTAGAGTCTGGCAAGACTGGCCCGTACGAGCAGGGGTACCTATACCTTTACCTTTAATGAAGCTGAAACTTGGGAGATGCAGGATGGATAAAATAATGTCCTTCGTTAACCTGTGGAACTCACTCCCACAAGAGGCAGTGATGGGCAACAACTGAGATGGCTTTAAAAGAGGATTGGGCAAATTCGCGGAGGAGAGAACTATTGACAGCAACTAGCCAGGATTGCTATGCTGTACCTCCACAGTTGGAGACATAAAAAGGGGGGACCCCACTATATGAAAATATACGCAAGTGGGGGGGAACAGGGGTTCAGGCCCAGGTAAGGTGCAATATAAAGTATAATATATAAAGCAAGTAAGGTTCAACAAATGTACCCGCAATTACAAAACATACCGTATTTTTCCATGTATTAGGCGCCTAGAGTTGTTGACTGCCAGTCGCCCACCCAGTTGCTGCAGCGTCAGCCAATCAACACTAGCCCTTGCCGCAGCAACCAATAACACGCCTAATAGCCACTGGCAGCTGCGGCAGCAGCCAATCAAACGTCCACCCTATGCACTATCCATGTATAAGGCGACCCCCACTTTTTAGCATGATTTTTAAAGAGAAAAACCTAGTCTTATACACAGAAAAGTACTGTACATCCTGCTTTAGGAGTGCCTCAATAAATTCCCTTCCGGGGAAACATCACCTTCAGAAAAAGCACATATAATTTTTTGCCATTTGGCGATTGAAATCTGACCCATACAACAGAATCAATACTCTTAAGACAAGAAATTAAGTTCGTCCATCTCTTCGGCACGATTGCACCGCATGGGCTGAATGCTTCCTTTGATTTGGGTTGCTTCTTGAAACTTCTTTTTTAGAAGCCTCTGGTATTTCTTCTATGTTCCCTATAAATGCTCACTAGATGGCTCCCTCTATGCTGTGCCGGCCAGTTTGCAGCAGACACCTCCCTTGTACCCTTTGCGGGACCTTACTAACCTGACAGGGTGAGTCAGCATGCTCACGGCCTCGGAAAGTTTGTTTCTTACGGTTTGGCTTGGGTTGCTGTTTTGTAGGAGGAGTTTTCCTCTGAAACTGGGATTACTGGCCTCCAGTCCTTTTGCCACAGCTGCTCTACCACTTCCAGGAACTTTCTTGCACCAGAGATTTGAAAAAAAAAATGTCATTTTAGTTTTGGACTTAGGCTGATAACTCTGGAGTTTGAGTTTGCACTGTATGTTTTGTAATTGTGGGTACATTTGGTGAACCTGATTTGCTTTATGTATTATACTTTATGTTGTCCCTTACCTTGGCCTGAACCCCTGTTCCCCCCACTTGCGTGTATCCACATTTGGAAGCAGTTTCTGAATACCGGTTGCAGGAAACTACAGTAATCCAGCTGTCTCCCATCAGCCTCAGGCAAAAAGCAGAGAAAGCACTTTCGCTTGCTATCGTTTATTAAAGGGCTTCAAAATATTAATGGTTATTATTCAAGCGCCTACAAGGCGTATGAAATGAAATATAAAAAAACTCACTTGGCGTACCGGCTGAAAAGCTCACAGCTGACTTTTCTTCCCATCTCATTTGTGTCTATGGAACTCCCTCCACAAGAAGCAGTGACGCTCACCAGCCTTGGATGGCTTTAAAAGAGGATTGGACAAACTCATAAGGGGGAGAGTGGCTACTAGCTCGGCTCGGCCGCCGTGGTCGAAGGCAGCGTTGCTTCTGAATAGCAGTTGCTGGAAACCACACGAAGGGAGAGTGCTCCTGTGTTCGAGTCCTGCTTGTGGACTCTGCTTGGCCACTGTGAGGGCAGGGTGGCCTGATCCCCTTGGGCCTGATCAAGCAGGCTCTCCTTATGTTCTTACCTGGGTGGGGAGAGTTGTCAGGGATCATGGGAATTGGTTTCCTGAAGGTTAATCATCCCTGGCAGCCACGAAATTAAAAGACGCCTGCTTCCTTGAGAGAAAAGCAATGGCAAACCTAGACAGCATCTTAAAAAGCAGAGACATCCCCTTGCCAACAAAGGTCCATATAGTTCAAGCTCTGGTTTTCCCAGTAGTGATGTATGGAAGTGAGAGCTGGACCATAAAGAAGGCTGATCGCCAAAGAATGGATGCTTTTGAATTCTGGTGCTGGAGGAGACTCTTGAGAGTCCCATGGACTGCAAGAAGATCAAACCTCTCCATTCTGAAGGAAATCAGCCCTGAGTGCTCACTGGAAGGACAGATCCTGAAGCTGAGACTCCAATACTTTGGCCACCTCCTGAGAAGAGAAGACTCCCTGGAAAAGACCCTGATGTTGGGAAAGATGGAGGGCACAAGGAGAAGGGGACGACAGAGGACGAGATGATGGGACGGTGTTCTTGAAGCTACCAGCATGAGTTTGACCAAACTGCGGGAGGCAGTGGAAGACAGGAGTGCCTGGAGTGCTCTGGTCCATGGGGTCACGAAGAGGCGGACACAACTAAACAACTCAACAACAACAACAACAATCATCCCTGGCATACAACAGTGAGGGTTATTTTCTGCAGCTATCTCTTGGAAGTCTCCAAATTCGTTTCCTATATTATGTTATGTTGCCTTTCTCTTTATATTCTGCCTTTCGGCCCCAAAATTTCCCCAAGGCGGCTCACAACGAGCAAACGAATGTGAATCCAAACAATGCAAATGATGCAAATTGAAAAACAACATTTCAAAAATGGGGGTACTACCTTTGCTGTCACTCGAGGCCCAGGTGGTCTCAGTGGCACTGAGGGCCTTCCATCAGCTTCAGCTGCGCCCCTATCTGGACAGGGAGAGCTTAACTTCTGTTGTCAATTGTAAGCTCTTGTTAGATTACTGCAATGTGTTGTATGCTTGTGAAACACGGACCACTTATAAAGGCCATCTCCAACTCCTCGAAAGATTCCATCAATGGTGTCTCTGAGAATTTTTACACATCACCTGGGAAGACAGGCGAACTAATATCAATGTACTGGAAGAAGCAAAGATCACCAGTGTCGAAGCAATGATTCTTCAACATCAACTTCGTTGGACCGGTCATG